CATTTAAATTTAATACCTTTAGGCAACTGTGGGCACTCCTGCCCTATTCTCTTTAGACTTTTTTGTTATGTGTGAGGACTCTGTCTCTGGTTGTCAGTCTCCCTGTTTCAAAGAGACCTCAAGAGTATCACTAGTTCTGACTTCAGTCAGAGTCGTTCATATTAGCCAGAGTCTGGAAAAATACAAAGTAGCTACAGCCAATGTAGCCTGCGTAGACCTATGTATATTTTTACAGCTTTTCTTTTTAATGCACTGCAAAGCTTGGCTAATCATCCTTCTCATGGACTAGATATGAATAAAACATCCTGATTGAACTCGGCTAGGTGAAGTACTCCCAGATGCATTCCGTGACCTGTTTCATGTCTGTGGAAGATCAGATTTGTGGAGTCATCTTTAACAACTCAGGAGCAAGAATGATAAATAAGTGAATGTAGAGAGACTCCTGATGTGTGGGGGTTTTTGTGGGGGGGGGAGGAGTTGCCCATAGGTGCTAGAACTAGGGGTGCTGAAGTGGTTTCCATTAAATACAGCGTTTACAGTTTGAATCAATGGCTCTCAGTACCCCCACTACACAAATTGTCCCAGGCACTGCTGGAGTTGTCTGAAAATAAAGAAGGGGGGGGCAGGGCGGGGGGGAGGAGAATCAATATTTAAAAGCACCTGGTGGTGATAGCTTATGTGAAACTGCCAATTCCCTCGTGGCAGTGCAACACATTGACACATGTTAGCAGAGTTTGAGTCGGAGCTGTTCTGTACTGGTAGGCCTGGGAAACCCTGCGGTATATGCAGCTTCTAGCTGGAGGGCTGGAATGCCACTCAGTGATCTTCTCTGGCTCATGGAAGGAGAAGCAATACATGGCTTTTGAGGATAGGACCACATGTGGGGGAAATTTGGGCTTCTTCTTACCCTCCCACTGCCCAAAAGAGCCTCTGTATAAATAGGTTTCAGAGTAGCAGCTGTGTTAGTCTGTATTCACAAAAAGAAAAGGAGGACTTGTGGCACCTTAGAGACTAACCAATTTATTTGAGCATGAGCTTTCATGAGCTACAGCTTACTTCATCGGATGCATAAAGTGGAAAGTACAGTGAGGAGATTTTATATATACACACAGACCATGAAAAATATATGGTTGTAAGGAGAGTGATCACTTAAGATGAGCTATTACCAGCAGGAGAGTGAGGTGGGGGGTAGAGAAAACCTTTTGAAGTGATAATCAAGGTGGGCCATTTCCAGCATATTTCCAGGAGTTAACAAGAACTTCTGAGGAACAGTGGGGTGGGGGGTGAATAGAGAGGAATAAACAAGGGGAAATAGTTTTACTTTGTATAATGACTCAACCACTCCCAGTCTCTATTCAAGCCTAAGTTAATTGTATCCAATTTGCAAATGAATTCCAATTCAGCAGTCTCTCATTGGAGTCTGTTTTTGAAGTTTTTTTGTTGAAGAATAGTCACTTTTAGATCAGAAATTGAGTGACCAGAGAGATTGAAGTGTTCTCCGACTGGTTTATGAATGTTATAATTCTTGACATCTGATTTGTGTCCATTTATTCTTTTACATAGAGACTGTCAGGTTTGACCAATGTACATGGCAGAGGGGCATTGCTGGCACATGATGGCATATATCAATAAACAGGAATTTCTACATATCTCTTTCTTTATTATTTATCAACAAGAACATTTGCAGAGCAAGAGAATTTTAGTTTTTAAAAAATTACTTTGTTGCTACTTCCCATGCCCCATCTGAAGTCCATAGTCCTCAGACCCACTCCTGCCCTTTTAAGCTGAGTAAATGGGCTGGAGGGGTATTAAAACTCTTGAAAGCCCCAGATCTGTCCAGGGGAGGATTCCTCTGGTGCAGAAACTGCAGAAGACACCCAGAAAGCTGCCCTCTGAGGACCCCCTTGTAGCCCTGGCATAGGATCATACAGGGGACAGAGTTGGAGGCAAGAGAAGCAAGGGCAGGGCCATGGCAGACTGAGGAATATGCTGTAATTTTGAGAGATCTCCTTGGGCTATTGAAATTGGGCCAAGGGCTAGGGGCATCCTGGGATCAGGAAGGTACAAAGGGGATTTAAACCCATCTTTCCCCTGCCCCCTGGGTTGCAAGTGCTGTGCTACATCTCTTAGGGAATAATTATGTCATAAATAACACATTATGGACTACAGGTGAGAAATAAGCAAGGTGGGAGAGAGATGAATCCTTGAGAGACACAGACTATTTTAATGTAAAAGATTTTTCTAATTAGAAACCATTCAAGGAGTCATTCGCAAGAGCAGCTCCTTAGTATCCAATGCACAGAGTTCTGTAGACCAAATTAGTGGTTGTAGAATAATTAAAAATCTGAATATGAGCCATGAGTCCAAATAGTTTACACTATTACATTCGCAGCAGCAGTTTGAACTGTGGTTTATAATTAATGCTAGTCAACTTATATTTTATAAGCAATTTAATCACATTAATATTTAACCCCCTTGTAAGTGGAAAAGGGTTCATTTCCATGTGTGAGAGTCTTGGACATAGAAATAGTAGGTGCCTGCCTTACAGACACTGCATAGTCTTGTGTAGATCAGCAAAATAATACTGTCTGATATTCAGTACTGCTATCCTCAGAACGACCACCAAACTTTGCCCTGGATCATGCACGGAGGTCATCTGAGTTGCCTGGGGTGTAAATCAACACTGAATTTGCCCTTACTATACATTCATAAATTCCTGCCAGGAGGCTGGAGACAAGGAGACTGGTGGAGAAAGATTCCATGCTGTTGTTTGCTAAGATGCAGAACTGTTTGTTCCTGCCCCCATTCCTCGCTAAAAAATGGCCGCTTGATAGGTGATTGCTCATCAGCTTTGAGGACACCTACTTAGAGGTGACAGCTTGTCCTTTGAGACATGTCTGGCAAACACATTTCAGTTCTAATTTCGGCTTATATTTATAACTTTACATATAATGTTGCAACACACATTTCATCATGATGTTATTGACCAGTGAGTTATTAGTTTTGAAATGATACCTCACAAGGCATATTTTGTACAAAGATTGTTACAATGGTGTGTAAGGTGCAAATACAGTGGTTCATTCAGTCACACCCTGTCAATATTAATCCATCACAGTTCCCTATGTCTCTCAACAAACACAGGAACAGTAAAGGGGCTTGGGGGTGTAACAGTTAGGGTGCACTGTGGGATGGCATTGAGGGAGAAGAGGGTAACCAGGTAGAAGCATAAAGTAACAGAGCTGCTTCACAGATGGCTGAGCCTCCAACAGATCTAGAGGTTTCAGGGTTTAACCACCTTAGCATTTCTGCAGAAGGGCAAACCCTTCCAGTCCATCCAAAAGAATGATCAGGCAGAAACTTCACATATCCAAACACATGAAGTTTCCTAGTCTCCTTTGTGGGATCCACATGAATTTTCTATCTCCTAACTTACCTGGGAATATTTGACCATTCATATACTGCAAACATCCGACAAGTGTTTGACAATATAAATTATCCATACAAAACCTGTAGTGTACCACTGACTTAAGTGACACTGAGGCTTTGTCTACACTGGATGTTCTCCGGCCAAACTTTTGTTGTTCAGGGATGTGGAAAAAAAAAACAGCCACCCCACCACTCACTCACACACACACACCCCCTGAATGACAAAAATTTGGCCAACAAAAAGCACCGGTGTGAACAGTGCTTTGTCATCAGGAGAGCTCTCCTGCCGACAAAGCTACAGCTGCTTGTTGGGGGTGGAAGTTTTTTGTTGGCGGGAGAGCGCTCTCCTGCGGACAAACAGCAGCTACACTGCACGTTTAGAGACATGGCTGTAGCAGCACAGCTGTGTCACTAAAAGATGCATAGTATAGACATAGCTTGAGTTAGGGACAAGGGCAGATGTTGGTTTTGTGGGGGTTTTTTTCCTATGTGCCTTTTGTACCAACTTGACTTAATCTTGTCAAAGTTCTTCCCTCCTAGAATTCACAGAATCATGAGAGGCTGTTGTCTAAGGTTTTAGAATGATTTCTTTATTCATTCATGCCAACTTTTGTATGCTCAGGCGCCATCCTAATTTGATAAGAAGCCTAGCAATAAAGACGTCTGATCTTCAAGGATCTTGCTTTATGATATGATCAAAGGTATTCCAACCACAAGGAGAAGCATGGCAGAATAATATCCGACTTGCATTACTAACTTTCTCTAACCTCAACATTAGTTGCCTACAGGACAACCTTGAATTTTGTCTCTCATCCTATTTGGAGAACGAATAAATTAATAAATGGGTTACGTACTTTGTTGCCTCACAAATGAAGAGATTTGTTACACATTAATATATTCCAGAGCCTCAGAATCTGATGCAAGATTTAAAGAGCCACCAAGCATAAAGATACTGGTGTATTATTGTTGTGTGTTAAACTGGACAATTTGATGAATATAGTTACTGTTATTCAGTAAGCAGGTAAAATGTGTGTGGTGCTGTACTGGACACAAAGGGTAAAATTCTGGCTCCATTAATGTCATTGGGAGTTTTACTATTAACTTCAGTGGAGTCAATATTTCAGCCTAAATGAATATGAGATCAGCAGTGAACAGCTTACAGTGCAAGAGATGTGACACAGAGAAGACAAGATGCACTGAGAGAAACTGAGAAGGGAATTAACTTGGTGTCAAACAAAATTAAGTCCTGATGGAGCCTAATTGGAAAACTATTGGGAACAGACAATCCCTTTCCTCTGTTCCCATAGGAAAAGGATGAACACCTATAGAAATAGCCTGGGATTTGGATCAGAAAGGGGTTAAGTGGCATCATTCCCTTTCTTCTGATTCTGTGGAAACTTCTGCTTGTGGTCTCTGTGTACTGGGCCTCTGGGCAAAAGGAATGGGGGAAAAGAAAGAAGTGGCTCAAAGTGGGGAGGAGCTAATCTGGATGGGTGCTCGGTGGAGTCATATTTCTTCACACATATGGGTAAATACCAGTGGAAATTAATGCTGACCTTATTAAACAGGTAAACCTTGCCTGTTTCCATGGCTTGCTTCCAGGAGCTAATGACTTCATTTTGGTGTGGGAGTACTCCAGAGACATGTGTCTGCCCTCAGTGAATGCCTCGAGACTTCTGGAATTTCCCTCACAGATTTCCATGGGCCCACTGAACACTGCAAAGGGACAAGTATGGACATTTTTTGATGGGATGATTCCAAGTTAATTCCACATTTGAAACTTGTGAAGTCTGCTGGCCTTTCCAAGGGTTTTCTCCCAGATAGGTCATGATCTTGCCCTGGAGATTATATATAGATATATATATAGATATATACACACACATGGGGAGGGAAGAGTATTTATATCAGCCACTTTTTAAATATTCATGAAATAAATCAAGGGTTAAGTTACCAATGAATAGACAATATTGACATGTTTTCTCTTTCCTTTTGGCAGAATGCCTCACAAATTATATAGGACACTTTTGACCAAGTACTTCAAGCATTTCTCAGACCTATGAAAGAGCTCAAGGAAAAAAACTTGTTTTGAAGCTTCCTTTGAAATTGTAAGTACTATAATAACTTGACTGCACTCTTCTTGCAGAAGAGCGGCATGTCAGTTCACAGGTCTGGCTGGTACAACAGAGGAGCTCTTCTTTGATTTTAACACAGCATCTAATTTTTCTGACAGTGTGTCCTTTGCTATTAAGCATAACCAGTATTTTTGACTTGGTGTGAAAAGTGATCCGGTAGTTTAGATAAAAGGACTTTTTAAATATGAATGGCACGCTGACCTCATTTGTCTGTAGGAGGGATGTGTAGAACACCAATCAGAGGAGACAGTGTTGCCTAGTGGCTAGGATACCACGCTGGGTGTTGTCAGAAAACTGAAGTTTAATTCCATGCTCTGCCACTGATTTGCTGGGTAGCCTTGGATAAGTCACTTCACCTCTTTGTGCCTCTATTTCCACTCCCCTTGTCAGTGTTCTGTTCAGCTCTAATTGGAAGCTCTTCAGGGCACGGACTTTCTCTTACATATATGTGCAGAGCATAGCACAATAAGGTTTTCAACTTCAGGGTCCTCTAAGTGCTGCCATAATGTCAACAGCAAATGACCAATAGTATCTGGATGATGAGATACAGTAAACACAAAAAACAAGAAAAACATCCATATTCTTCAGTACCATGGAAATCAGCTGTGAGGGAGCTGATGTCACAGCCTCACCTGTGCTGACTTCCCTCTGGAACAAGATATTACAGGAGGAAGATTGGGTCTCAGCCCCATGCCTTGCTCCCTAAACAGACATAGAATGGAAGTGGTAGACCTGTCTGTCTAGCCAGGAGACAAAGCCAAGTCAGCTTGCTGAGTCCATTTAGCGGTGCTTGATACTGAGAGGCTTCTGGTATGGACTGTCTTGAGCCTCTTTCATGTGGGCAAGGTCACATACCTCAACATTGCCATTGCCAGGTCTGAAGAAGCTGCTTTTAGAGAGAGGTCATAGCAATGGAGATGGCCTTTTACCCCAAACATAATGAATGTTCTGTCCTAGACTCAGTTGATTGGACCTTAAGAGCCTCCTCCATGAATAGGAATTTGAGGCAGCTTCCCAATTCTTGCAGGTTTAACTGGAGAAAGCAAGGTATATAGGTCACCTCTGAGTTGTGCCTTTTCCCTAGGCACTAGAGACACCAAACACAGACACTAGTCACTGATGTCACAGCCAAGACGTTGTTGGGGCCAGCTCATCACTAGGGTGAGAATCCATATGACTCTTCACCTTGAAGGAGAAGGCCTTTTTTTACTTCCTGTTAGCTTCAGGAGTAACTCTGAAGTCAATGGAATTACACTGGTGTAAAACCAGTGTAAGCAAATCAAGCACAGCGTGCAAAACTGGTGTATTATTAGCAAAGAGAGGTGGAGTGTGTTTCAGGAGTAATGGCTAGCAAAAGCATGTAAGATAAAGCAAGCTTCTCTCTAAACATGGACTCAGGGCTCAACATCTTTTCTGTCTTGTCATTAATCCAGAAGGAGTTATAAGAATATTTACTTGCTGTTCCTTTAGGGCATTTGTACTGGTCTGCTGGAATGTTCCTCTGATCTGGGAAGCTAGAAAGTCTGAAATAAGAATAATATTTCCTTACCTCATTAGGGCTTCATTGCAGATTTTATTTTATAAAAATGACTGTTTCAATAGATTTCTCAAATAGGTGTTACCTTTTGAGGATGATCTGATCCATCCTCTATATTGTTAGCATTGTATTTTTTTATTCCCTTACAATTTAAGGAAGAGAAAAGCAAAATAAACGTATCCTTAAGACAAGGTGAGAAAGCAGACAGCTCCTTATTCAATAGGCCAGTTTCATAGAATCATAGGATCGCAGGTCTGGAAGAGACCTCAAGAGGTTATCTAGTCCAGCCCACTGTACTTGTGTCAGGAGTAGATAATAGACCATCCCTGACAGGTGTTTGTCTAACCGGCTCTTAAAAATCTCCAATGATTGAGATTCCACAACCTCCCTAGGCAATTTATTCCAGTGCTTAACCACCCTGACAGGAAATTTTTCCTAATGTCCAACCTAAAACTGCCCTGGCTGCAATTTAAGCCTATTGCTTTGTGTTCTATCTGCAGAGGTTAAAGAGAACAATTTTCTCTTTCCTCCTTATAACAATCTTGTATGTACTGTAGTGGGGTGGCTGATTGGGGTTAGGCTGATTGGGGAAGCAGCCACAGGTGTGGCCAGCTCAATTAGGGCCCAGCTGGCCTTGATGAGAGGGCTGGGGGAGTCTCTCTCTAGCTGTAGAGAGAGAAGGACCTAGCTGCCTGGGAGCAAGGTACCTAGAGCAGAGCGGAGCAGAGCTCCAGCCTGGTAAACTGGGCTGCAGAGATACAGCCTGGGGTTAGGCAGAGGCAGCAGGTCCTAACCCCTTGCCAATAATGAGTGACCATTACAGACTGCAGTCTGCCCCAGTGAGTGGGGGCTAGGTGACGACTGGCAGTAGCCACTGAGGGAAGGTGGGTTTAGAGGGTTGGGGATTCCCCTGGAAGGGGAAACCCAGAGTAAGAGGGTACCTCTGGGGCAGAACCCTGAGGTAAAGGACACTGGGGTCCGGGAGAGACATGGGGGCCTGAGGCAGGCGAGACACTGGCCAGCAGAGGGTGCTCAGAGGCTGGAAAGAGCTAATTCCCACACAACCAGCAGGAGGTGCTGCAGCAGTGAGTCTTCGCTTCACTACACGTAGTGTAGAAAACAGCCATAGATGGTCACCCCTGATACAAGGGGCAGGGCAAGGACTGTGGGACTATTGCCTGGATCTGAGAGTTGAGAAACTGAAGGTGGAGAAAATGCTGGACTGGTACTGGAGGGCCTGAGTGGCCCAGCTCACCGAGCAGCAAGCAGGACTCTTTCAGCTGCTATGTGGGAGGGCACATGGACCTCGTTAGAGGCCAGGCACCTGGGGCTGGAGGCCGGTGCTGGGGCCTAAAGACCGTTTCCCCTGTGAGTGACAGGGACACTTGAGAAGGGAGTGCCCCTACTGGGATGGATCAAGGAGGCCCCACCCAGAAAACGCACCCCCTGTGAGGTCAACAGCAGGGCCACAAGCTTGTTGGGCCTGTAAGGAATCCAGACACATAAGGAGGGAGTGCCCCTACAGGACTCGCAGGGCCTAAACTAGCCCTGAGGTGGCCAAAGGAAGGCACTTTCCCTGACCATCTTGTTGCTAACATACCTGTAGAAACTGCTCTGCCTGGCCTGAGGATCTGAACACTAGGAGCAGCTAATTCCTCTTTAGAGATCACCCTCACTGGTGTGTGCCAGCGAGGAGGCGTGGCCTCCCTCTGAGATTGACAAGGAGGGATGGCCACGCTCCCCTACAAACTCCTTGAATTTTTCCTGTAAACTTGTGTATTTTGAGTCTTCTTTCTTAATGGATTTGTCTTCCTTGAGAATAATCGTTTAGTAGGGTCAATGCAGAGACAATGACATTGTTCAGTAATGTTTTAGTCTCTAATACTAGCATATAGACTGAATGAAGGATGGAATGAGATTTTATTCTGAATCATATTTGCTATTCCCCCCTTCAAAACAGTTCTTAATATGACTTTACAGTGATAGAGAAAGTTAGTGTAGGGCAGCCTTCTGCATCAGCAGCACTATTATATACTGTTGCCCCTTTTTGGCCTGAGCAGTTAAATATTTGAGGCCTTGCTGGGTTGTTCCTTTTGCAAAAAAAGAAACTGAGTATATAAATCAGGTATTTCTTCGGTGTAATCCTATTTATGCACCAAGAATATATTTCCTGAAAGCAGTATAAACAAACTGCAGTAGGCAGTTTCTTTGTTCACCATTTCCAAGCCTGCCTTTAGTGCCCCAAGGAGCTTTCTCTTTGCTCCATGTCCAAGCCATGTTCATGACTGCTCTTGATGTGTACTGGCTTTCTGCCTCTGACACACAGGCACACACATCTGAAAGCAAGCAATCCTCTAGCCCCTGTATTTGCAGCAGTCCCAGGGAAGCCCCTCAGACCACACTGTTTAACAGACTCTGCTATTCCATGTGGTGGCTTCCTATTGTTGCAGCTACAACTACACAAAAAGAAAAGGAGGACTTGTGGCACCTTAGAGACTAACCAATTTATTTGAGCATAAGCTTTCGTGAGCTACAGCTCACTTCATCAGATGCAAATAAATCAATAGAACTCCATTGACTTCAACAGAATTATGTTGATTTACACAAACTAAAGCTCTGGCCCTAATATTACTTATCCTTCTACATGAAGATCTAAAGCCACTCCGTTACGGTGTCTGCCAAATCTCAGGCCAGGTCTACACTACAGCCAGATCCACACTTGGAGATCGATCCACCAGTGGTGGATTTAGCGGGTCTTCTAAAGACCCGCCAAATCGACTGCAGATCGCTCTCCAGTCGACCCCTGTACTGTACCCCCAATGAGAAGAGTAAGGTAAGTTGACAGGAGTAGACCCTGCAGTAACTCTACCTAAGGTACGTCGACTCCAGTTACGTTATTCACGTAGCTGGAGTTGTGTAGCATAGGTCAACTTACTGCGGTAGTATTAGTCATAGCCTTATTCATGGCATAAGCAATAGCAGATGTAAATACAGCAGCAGAGGATGTAAAGGAAAGCAGATGAGAAAGATCATTGGCATGAGCAGACTTCATTGAGGTCAATTTGCTGTCTACATTATGATGCCAAATGTGGGTGATCCGAGTGTTGATGAAAGCAGTGTCTGCTTCTTTGCTTCTTGACTATCGTAATAATATCCTGGTATATTGCAAAGGTGTGATGTGCAGCTCCTTTCATATAGTGTAAAACTGACCCAGAGCTGACTCTATAGTTAAAAATCTGTATCCAGATTACACTGAGCCTCTCAGCAGCTGAGTCCTGCTGAATTTCAAGCAGGCAGATATGATTTGGACTCATGGAGTAGAGCTGGGATGTGAAATGTTTTTCCCATCCTGTGAAAACTTGAGACATTTTAACAAATTCTAGTTGTGCACTGAGGTTCAAAAATTTTCCAGAGAGAAACACACCCCACGCTAGTC